ATATTTACTAATAATAATAAAATTTTCATTATAAAGAGATAATTTCAATTTTACTATGTTTTACTATGCTTTTTTTTTGGATTTCCAGTAATTTATTGTAGGGGTGTATATAAATATTTTAGTTATTACTAAATAAACTTTTATTCTTAATAAATATTATAAATTATATATAAAATAGAATTAATATAATTATTTACTTAAATATAGTTATTCAATTAATTTTAAACAAATTTAATTATTAATAATATTTTAAAATATATAAAATAAAATTATATTTAAATTTATAAATTTTCAAATAAATTTATTTTATTTAAAAAATATTTTTATATTTTGAACTTTAAATTTTCTTGAACTTAAATCAAAGTTTAATTTGAATTTAATTTAAATTTTAAATTCAAATAATAATTAAATTTAATTTAATTTTAGATATACTATTTAAAAAATATTTATAAAAAAATTAATTATATATATTATATATTATTTAAATATATTTTTTAATTTTAATTCATTTTTTATAATGTTTAAAATCAGATTTTATTAATTAAATATATTATATTCTTATTAAATAATTAAATCTTTATATTTTATTAAAATATTATATTTTTATATTATTATTTAACTATTTTTAGTTCAAATTTATATTCAAATTTTAGTTTAAATTTTAGTTTAAATTTTAATTCAAATTTTAATTTTAATTCAAATTTTAATTCAAATTTTAATTTAATTTGTATTTTAATAAATGTTATAATTTTATTAATTATTTATAAAAGAAATATATTTGAGCTTAGAATTAACCAGTCAAATTTTTTATTAAGTTCTTAAAAAACAAAAATACTTTAATAAAATCAATAAATAAATATATTATTATTTTTATAAAATTAAAGATAATTACATATTATTTATATATTTTAATAAGTTTAAGATAGAAAAAAAACTTAAAATCAGCTAAAAAATAATAAGTTTTTATTTTTTTGATAATTTAGAATAATTTTCCTAATTTTAACAAGTAATAATATAATTAATATAAATTATAATACAAAATAATAAGTTTTTAAATAATTTTTTAAGTTAATAACAAATATTTTAGTAAAAATTATTTTTATATAAATTTTAATTTTAAAAAATAAATTATTTATAATAAAGAAATTTTTACTTATAAAATTAATAATTTAATTTTATTTATTTAATATTCTCAATAAAAAAATCTAAATATGAGTAATTTATTTATTTCTAACTAAAATATATATTATATTTATATAAAATTATTAGATATAATTTAGTTATTACATAAGCAATTTCTATTATTTTAATTATTTTGATCATTTTGATTATTATATTAGATTTGATTTAATTATTATGCAAAAATTTATATTATTTTTATTACTTTTATTCTTTTATTATTAATTTTATAGATTTATTTTATCATACAAAATAAAACTAATTAATTAATAAAATTAAAACTAATTTAATTAACAAAATATTGTTTAATTAAAATATAAAATAAAACTTTAAAATATAAACATATAAAATATATAAAAATAAAATATATTTTTTAATTTTATATTAATAGTTATTATTAATTATACTTTTATATTTATTTAAAAGTTTATATTAATAACAAAAATAAAATAAAATATATTAAAAAAAAGTAAAATAATTTTTGATTCTCATTCCAAATCTAATAATATAAAATTTAAAATTAAATTTTATATTATTTTTTTTCTCTTTGTTAAATATTTAGTTTAATAAAAATTGGTTTAAAAAATAAATTAAACTTATTAATATAATCAAAAAACAAAATTTAATATAATAAGTTTTATTAATATTATTTATAAACAAAATATATAATTATAAAAAAAATATAACAAGTTCCAAAACGAAAAATCTCATTTATTTAAAACAATTTCTATTAAAACTTAAGAAATTAAATTTTTTAAAATATTAATAATATTTTATTAAGTTAATAATTATAATATTAATAATATTTTTAACTACTATTAATTCAAAAATTTTAATATATTTATAATATAATTAATAAATATCAATTTAAAAAATATAAAAATAAAAAAAATTAGAAATAAAAAATATATAGTAAAGTTATTAATTAAAAACTTTTTAACAAAAAATATTTTTTTAAATAAAGAAAACTAAAATTAAAAACTTATTTATTTTTAGCTAAAATATATATTATATTTAAATAAAATTATTCAATCTAATTTAGTTATAAAAATAATTTTTATTATTTTAATTATTTTAATTATTTTTATTAGATTTAATATAAATAAGTTTTATTATTTGTATTATTTTAATTATTTTGATTATTAATTTTATAGATTTATTTGTTAAATATAATTAAAAATTAATTATAAATAGCTTAACTTTTTATCAATAAAATTAAAACTAGTTTTAATTAATAAAATATTTTAGAATATGTATTAATTAATAAACTAATAATTAAATCTTTATATTATAATAAAATTAATATTTTTTTATTTTAATTTAGTTTTGATTTATTTTAGTTTATTATAATATTTACTTTTATTTACAAAGTTATATTTTAGTTTAATTTATTAATTTTTTATTTATATTATAAAACTATATTTTTTTAGTTTATTAATAAGCTTTTATTTTAATTATAAATTTATATTAAATTGGTTTAATAAATTAAATTATTATTATAAAATTCTTTGATATAAATAAAAATACTGAAGATATAAATATATTAATTATCTGATAAATTATAAAACTATTTAAATAATAATAATATTTAGAATATAAAATTATGTAAAAATACTGAAATATAAATATATTAATTATTTGATAAATTATAAAACTATTTAAATATAATAATATTTAGAATATAAAATTATTTATAAAAAATTTATTTACTCTTTTTTCTTAATTAAATTTAGAAACTATAAATTCTTTATTTATATATATAATAAAATTGATTTTATCTTTTTTTATAATAATTAAATAAATAAATTACTAATTATTAATATAATAATAAAAAAGATATATAATTTTATTATTATCTAAATAAATTATTTAGTTTATTTTAATTTTGAATAATTTTATAATTTTTTATCTTTGTTAAATATATTATATTATTTGAATAAGAATATAATTAAATAGTAATTCTATAAAACTTGAATAATAATAATATTTAATATTAATAAGTTTATACAGTCAAATTTCTTTATACTTATATTTATTTATAATTATATTATTTTATAATTATTTTATTTTGTTTTTTATTTATATATATAATTATTTTGTTTTATTTTTTATTTATATATATAATTATATTCTCTTTATATTTATTCAATTTTGCTTTTTTAAGATTGATAATTATAAAAAGGTTTAATTATATATTAATAATATATTAAAAATTCTAAATATTCTTATTTGTTATATTAATTTACTTTTTTTCTTTTTTATTTTTTTTATAAGTTATTAATAATATTTTGTGCTTTTTAAAATAACTAATATTTCTATTTAACTATAAATTAATATATTTGATAGATTCAATTTTTTTAAAACTTATCAAATTCATTTAGTAAATTACAGTATCTTTTGATTTGAAAATAATACAATTGCTTTTATATAATAAAAACAATTTATTATTTTTATTAATTTTAATAATGAAAACGTTTAAAATTCATTTCAGGTGGTTTAATGAATTTTATGCATTTCTTATCATCAATTGGCTTATTTTATATTACTATCAAACAATTGATAAGTAAGTAATCTAAGATAAAATTTTGTTGAATTAGATTTTTTATTTCGAAAATGTAAAATTTTCGTTTCTAAAATTTATTATGAGTCGGCGCGACAAAGAATATAATTTAGTTTTAGAATTACATACAAGCCTAAGTTCCATTTTAATGAAATTTTCTCAATAAATTAACTACACTCCTTACTACATGTAAAAAATACTGGCAGATTACTTTTAAATACAGAATATTTTTGGCTAGCGTTACACTAAAAAAAAACAACCATACCATTCACCGCCACTCGGCAACCATTCAGAAACCAGTTCTGAATGGTTGCCGAGTGGCGATGAATGGTTGCCGAATAATTGCTGAATGGTAGTTGTTTTTCAATTTAGACTAGCGTAAATCTAATTTCTATTCAGCAAGATTTAGGCTACTTAATTAAACTTATAACATGCAAAATACAGACATAAATACAAGAACTACGGCAACATTGAGTAAATTGTAAATACGTAATCGACCACCAATACTGATACAGTCTAATTAAAAATCCTTGTCAGAGTGGTAACATTATCGTTATTGGTTCGATGACGATATATTTAGTACTCTTATTTATCTATATTTGTGCATAATCTTAATTACTAAAACAGGCATTGTGACTACGTACATGTACATGTAGTTTGGTAACTCGACCAAGTTTATACGTGTACATGTATAACAATAAATATAGACCTTTGTTATTTCAAGAACCCAACTTAAAGTATTTACGTATTCATTTATTCATTCATTTATTTTTAAAAAATGCATAACCTCGATCAAGGTTCTCAACAAATTTTTGATAGCAATTTGATTCAAGTAATCGAATGTGAAGACTATTCGCTACTTTTAATCAAACATCCTAATATTGGGACATTCACTACAAGGATTTTTTCGATAAACGAATTCATCGAACATCTTCATCAAAATAAAACCCCAAATTGTTTTTTACTTTTTCGCATGATCTTCTCGAAGGCTATCAAAGAATCAGGAATCAAATTAGAGAGAAGATATATATCCGAAATGGCTGGCTCTTGCTGGAAGTCTTCATCTCAAACTCGACGCTTGTTTAAAAATATTTACAACCAACTTAAGCAATTACTTCCGGAACAACCGCATCAAACTAATTATAATTCGACCGCCGTAGTTAATTCAATAGCAGCATATCCAGACATTTTTTGTTTCGGAAACAGCAACCTCAATAATAGCAATAACTATGCTGATGAACTTAATTATTTACCTTACCAAAACCAAAATACTCTGGAACAACCACATCAAGCCAATTATGATTTAACACCTGTTGTTAATTCAATGGTAACATATCCAGACCTTCTCATCCTCAATAATAATAATATCTACGCTGCTGATGAATTCTCAGAGTTAAAGGAATTCACAGAGTTAAATAAAGAAGATGTAATTAGACATAAATAGAGAAAGAATGTTCGGTAGTTATCTTTCCGTTCATTTTCCTCTCATATATAGATTATAGACTTATTATTTTTGGATCATTTATCATTTAATTATAAAATCTTACTAATGCATGATATCTCCAAATGCAGGTTTTATGATTTATGTCTCTTGAAAATTATTTACGGAGAATTTTTTGTAGTTTTGTCAGAATAATATTCATACGTTTATCATGACACCGGCATTTATAAAATTTCTCCGATTCTGAAAGTCATACATCATTTAACAAACAACGCACATATTACATGTATCTTGTAATATTATTATTGATTAGGAAAGGAAACTCATTAAAAGACATACATAATAGTTATAATCGCACTGATAATACTACATATATTAAATGAAATATTACTGCTACGTACTACGTACTTTATTTTTAAAATTAAAAATTTCAGATGTTTTCAATCCGGAATTTCGAATCTGAAAATTTTTTCAATTCGGTTGGAAGAATTCTTTATCTTTTGCAACATTTAATTTTTTTTGGAAATCTAGAATTTTGGATGTCAATTCCGGATTGAAAGTTTTACAAGGATTAAAGCTCAAATTATCAATATCGATATATATATTAATATACATGTATATGATTATTCAAAGATTCCAATAACGATAACAAATCTAATATCACCATTAATCAAAACATGTTTGTTTTCAATTTTAATTTTATAAATCAACAAAACGTGAGAACATCAAATAAATGTGTGTTAAATACATTGTACATGTATATACACATAGTAAACTAATGAAATATACAGTATGCATGTAGCGGCTAAATGCCAAATTGTTATTCTCAATCCCTAATGTAATACATAATGAGTTAATTTAATATGCCGATAGATATACGTAATATTCATAATCGATATGTTTGAGTAAAATGATATTATTTTTGAGTTATTCAATATATTTGAGTAAACTAATATAAATTTGGGATAATAATGCAATTTTGGAATTATTTAATGATTGGAGGGGGGTAGTAGCTGTCATAAATTTAAAAGTAATTTTGATGTTTACAATAGAGACAAGGACAATCAAAAGGAATGGTGTTTTGAGTCACATTGCCGAGCAAAGGATAGAAATCTGTAAAGCCGTATTAATAAGTAATATTAATAAAAATAATTGATGTTATATATATTATAAATAAATAAGCAATGACTTCTTACTCTCGCGTTCGCAGGCGTTCGAAATAGCAATCTTGAGGGACTCACAAAAATTTCTAAAATATGCTTCGAGCCTAAATTTGGAGTTTCTCCAAACAATTTTAGAAAGTTTTGAAATATCATTTTGATTAAAACTGCTAAAATCGACATAATTTCTCCTAAGTTCGTATAAATAGTATCTGAAAACAAGGTAATAATTTGTTGGCTTTTTCTGCCGGTAATTTCCGTGTTTACGCTTGTGTCTACGCAAAAAATCATCAATGGACTGTAAAGGTACGAGATAGGAAAACGTGCCTAAAATAGGGGACCACATTATTTCGAGTTCAATGTGGGTGAATTCATTTGAGCCGTCAGAAACAAGTTGCACACTTGCAAAATTGTATGAGCGTTCGGAAATGCAACGTCTGTGCTCGTCGAAAAGATTTGTATTACCCGTCATTACAGTATATAATAAGAGAAACAAACTGTGTCATAAATAGAGCTTTCGTGACGACTGAAGATATTCAAAAATGCTACACGTCTTTTTATAAGAAATTTGCACTTCTCAATTATAGAGTTCTACTTACTATACATATTACTAAAAGTTTCCATTACCTTCCTTGTTGCTATAATCCATTTGTCTTAAAATTTTATTGTTTTTCTTTGCACGAATTATCTTGCATTCTTTAAACTCTCGAAAAGGGTTATCGTTATTTCTTCTTTGCCTAATTGATTTGCATGCTGCAAAACAAAAGTATACGTACGTAGAAAAATTCCGCATTTTTCAATTGGCGCAGCTTGAGATTGGTGCTGTCTTTTATTTGTATTAGACCAATTTCCTGATAACATCAATTATGATATGTGAAACTAAATAATATTGTATTATAACGCTGCTTTAAAAAATTAAATAATGTATATGCAACGGTAAGTTTTTTCTTGAATAAACCATGTACATGTAATATCGGATGTGAATGTCCATCTTCGGTAAAATGTATGCTAGTAACTGTGCGGAGATAATTAGCTGAATTCGACTATTCTACATTATATCTTTCAAAACAACCGAACTAGATCGGCTTGATTTTGTCTATATCGATGTATATTCATATTTTTCATTATTCTATTTCCTTT